GCAGACATGGGCAGACACTCAAAAATTGTTTTTCTCAATGTATTCTATAATTGAATAGTGACTATGAATACGTATGTAACCTTTACACGTGGTAGAGCCATGCTGCAGCTATTTATGGTTGTAGTACGAATGAGTCGGCTCGACCGGGGAAGGACCACGCTCTCACAGAATACCAGCATAAAATAGCAGCTTAACGCTGCTGTGTTTCGTATGGTGAGTGTAGAGATCCGGAGACCATTTTTACTGGAAACGAGGCATTCCATCTTAGTCCTCACGAGTGACAACGCATTTGCATTTTGATTCGTAATCGAAGATAGATGTAGATGTCTATGGGCCACAGAAACCACTTACCATCAGGTGGACTGTGTGCTCGTTTGTCACCCTTATCCTATAAAAAAAAATGTTTTTAAAGAGATTCATAAGCTCTTTATTAATATTTGTTTCGGCTTTTAGGTATTCTGGCAATTTATTATAAATTTTAATTAATATCGGGTAAGGACCTGAACTTTGAAAAAGTCTATGATTTTGGCGTAAAAATTTGGGTGCTTTTATACAAACTTACACATCTATAATATAAAAATGAATCGCTGAATATGTTGCTAAGCGCAAATCTCGAGAGCAGCTGAACCGATTTCGCTAATTCTTTTTTATAATATTCCTTGAAGTACGAAGATGGTTCTTACGGAGAGAAAAATTTAAAGAAATTGCCTGAAAATGTTTAAAAACAACACTTTTCTCTTTTTTATATTCCCATACAAAAGTCGTTAGTATCGTATAAATATTATATCGTATCGTATAAATATTTGTCAATATTTATACGATGGAAACTTAATTTTGAATAAGTAAAAATAAAATGAAATATAATAAGTAGGTATCATTAATAAGAAATCAGAAATTGTTATTTTCATTGTGATGTTAGTGACTATTAAAAGAATTTTAAGTATTTTATAATTTTTATTTTTTGATATAATGTAATTGTTGACTTATCAACTTTCTTTTTTCTTTTTTTATCTTACTGGCTGACCCGGTGTCCCGAATAGCAGAATAAGAATGTATTAAAAAAAAGTTAGGCGGTACGAAGTTCGCCAGGTCAGCTAGTTTCTAATATAGATATATATGCACGGTAATGTTAGAATGTTGAGATTTTGAAAGTGAAGTTTGCAGCTTTGTCTTTGTTTGATATTTGCAAGTCATTTTTTTAATTAATTTTTTGTAAAATAAAAGTGTATGTGCTTCTACACTGTTACCCCACAGTATGACTTCGTAGTTTAGCCACGCTTGTGCTTAGTCGTGGTAGGCTGTCACTGCCGTTGTAGATTTTTTTAGTTCTCGTGCATATATAAATTGTGATAGATTTAGGATAGTTTAGTTTTGATAGTTTTTTTATAGGATAGAGTGATCTAGGTGAGGCTATCCTATAAAAAATAGACACTAGACTGAATTCCACGACCCTCATCAAACGATCGTTCGTAGAAATCTGTTTATGACTTAGCCTTAGCAATGTTGCACATCTCGTTCACTTGCCCACGTGTGTTACAAACATGGAGGACCATAAACCTTACCGGCCCTGCTGATCATTCATCCTGATGACTATCAGGTCTTCGTCAATATTGACGAATTTTGACCACTGTCTGAATGGAAGACGGGCGTAGTTATCTAATTAATGATAAGAAATTATAATTACGTATATATTATATAATTACGACACTTTCCATCAGATAAGCCGCATGCTCGTTTGCCCGTACTTCTATAAAAAATGTGTCCATTGTGGTCAAGAAGAACAAGGTTGTGCGCCACGTGTGGCAATATATTATGTCGATGAATCTGGCCGAGTTTTATTCTCGCCGGATTATCCCCACACCAATGCTAAATATATCAACGATGTGGTTCTTTAGGTATTCGAACTTTTTATACTAACTTCTGTATAGACTAAGACTATAGGAAGCAGACCCTAGTACAAAGTACAGCACCAAAAACACACGTGGCATCTTCTTTCTTTGGCCTGGCCAGAACCGACACATCAGGGTCTTTTGTAGAATAAAGGTGACAAACGAGCACATAGTCCACCAGTGACCAGTGATGGTAAGTGAATGTTGTGGCTCATAGACATTAATCCTAAATTAAGTATCAAAATGCAGATGTATTGTCACCCCCGGGGACAAAGATGGAATGCCTCGTTTCCAGTAAAAAGAGTCTCCGATTCTCTACACACCATACGAAACACATCAGCATATTTTATGAGAGCGTGATCCTACCTCGGTGGAGCAGACCCATTCGTACTGTAACATAATATAGCTGCAGCGTGGCTCTACCATTAGGATGCAAACACTAGGGAACTTAATAATGTAGGTACAAATCTGCAATTCGTCTGTGTTCTTTCTTTCGTATCTCGAAAGAGTTATTGTCAAAGCTAAGGCACATCAGCAAAATTAGCAAGTAATTTGTTTGTAATGTTTTTGTCCTTCGAGAACCCTTATATATTCTGTTATCTAGATTTAAAGCCAAGGGAATTTCTGGTCGATATTTGGGGATAGGAATTTCTGGGTGAAGGAGACGTGACCAGTTTCGCTGTGTATAATATGAATTATGATGTGAATCATCCTGTGGGTGTCGTATGAAGCGATAGAGGAAAATGCAAAGACGGGCAACAACGTCTTCCTGATAAAGACTAAAAAAACAGCTGTTGGCAACCCGCCAAATGTGGCAACTATGGAAAAGTCCCCCTATGAGGTATTTTGAAAATATAATTATAACGATACAATAAATAAGATAAATAAAAGACAATTCAACTGTAATCATAGGTTAATACTAAAAATACTAAAATTGCCCCCAAAAGGGAGTTCGTACTATCTATTTACAGTTATTGTCGCGATGCACGGCACGCCAATATTTTAGTATGGGATTCTCTGGGCACTCGTAGCACACCCTGAGGATCTCGTTCTCGGAATCACGTATGCGGGACCAAAAAGCTGCAACCCGAGATCTAATAACAGCGAAGAAATCGGGCAACCCGGCGTTGGCAAACATGCTCGACGCACTGCAGTATTTAGGTAGTTTCATAAGAATGCGGAATGCATTAATTATACTGCACTCTAATGCTGCTACGTGCATTTTTGGTACTGTCCAACCAAAGCTGACAAGTATAGAAGCATTGACAATATGCTCTAAACAGGGTCAGCCTTGCCTTGAGACTGCACCGCGCAAACCGGCATGCAAGCATATTACACCGAACAGCCAGAGCCCTCCTTTCACGTTCTATATCGAGGTTATCACGCAAATCCTCAGTCAGTCATTTTATGGGGGAGGTTTATGTTCAGCACTAGAATTTTGATAGGCTCTAATGATGATGATTACTACCGGTCCTTTCACGTCTTTTCGGGTACTCCTACACTCTAGGCGTCACCCTGAAACTCCTGGAGGACAGATTTGTATCACACCACCTGGTTAGTAATCAACTGGTAAATTTCTACACGGATATGATTTAGAGACGATAAAAAAAAAAGATGAAATTCATGGGCGGTGGCAGTAACTCAACATCAGATTATAAAAAATTAAAAAACCAAGCAGACTATGCAAATTATTTAAAACTTTATGGATGGTTGCACTTGGGAATATCGCTGGTGTGGTCCTTGCAATTGTAGTTAGCCGACACTACGCAATTACAAAAAAAAAAGAATGTCATTGTAAACACTTAAATCTTTTTGTACAATGTTCTAGCATTGACAAAATAAGTACACGCATGATGAAGCAAAAAAAAATCAGTGTGCCGTAAAGATTATCTACCTGTCTCATAGATAGAACATTGCGCCTATGGCCTTATATTATGGACAAATACCACCGAAATATCTTTATCCGACACTGATTCTGGACACGGACACGGAAGGAATTGTTTGAGTCTATTTTTTTTCGACCTACGTCTGTGAACTACTCCAGTATTTTAACTAAGTACCTACTTAAAATTCAAATACTAAACTGCTCAAAGGCTCCGTATAGGAATTTTAATAGCCAATTCATCATCATCATTACAGCCCTTTACAAGTCCACTGCCGAACATAGGCCCCCCAAGGAATACCACAAAGCACGATCCTGAGCCACCTGCATCCATCGACTTCCTGCATATCTTACCAGATTGTCACTCCATCTAGTGGGCGGCCGTCCTACACTTCGCCTTTTAAAGGAACTTCGAATAGCCAAATATGGCCTTATGAATTTAACGACTCGATAGTACAGTGGTTAAGCATTTGACTACGATGGTACAAGCCGTGGATTCCAGTCATGCTCGAAACAAGGTTTTTGGACTGGAGTAACAAAAATGTAGATCCAAGCGGTGCAGGAGAAATTCCTAGTGTGAGCGTAACATGTTTTAAAAGTTAGGTAAAAGAAATATAAATCAGTAAACAAGTTTGACTACATATTTTAAAAATTGCATGTTTATAAAACACATATTCCGCCATCTCGTGTTGTAAAGAAAGTAATAATGTATTATATTATAATACATATTACCACTCTCTATGTTACCCCATCTCATGTTGCAAAGAAAAAATGTTAATATGAGCCATTTCACGGTAGATGGCACTTTTAAAGTGCATCTGAAATCCAAAAAAGTCTTAACAAAATATCAAAGCAAAAAAATCTTATCCTAATAAAATAAAAAGTCTTATTAAGTATTTTTTTAAATAGTTTAATCGTTATGTTTTATAATAAGAAAGAAAAAAAAAATGCATTATTATCTGTAATCGGCCATCTTGGATTTTGATAATTTGACTGCTTTTCGAAATGGATTAAAATTTTGTGTTTTAATTCTACCTACAATATTCAAATTTAAATTAATTGGTAGAACACGTCATTCACACCGTCCTTCCGACGCCGCCGCTGCAGCCCACAGTGCCGTTCATAGCAAAAACTGGTCAAATAGTGGTCGTACGATCAGCTGTCACGGATCTTTGACGTGTTGAATACAAACAAATCTCATTTCGTCGGTTTGCTATGCTGTTGCGGCGATGAACGGTACGTTTTACGAGCAGCTCGGGGGTGTGGCCGGGATTTTTGAGCAATGGGGCACTTGCGAACGGACTGTGGTGGCCTGTGCACTGGCGCGTCGAGTTCCTTGGCCTGGCATAAAGCTCGTTCAAAGAGCTGTGGAGGCTGCACTACAAAACCATGTGGAAGACGAACGCCTGGAGAGAGATGCAAATGACGAGACGCTGCTTGCCAGCTTACTGACCCCAAGGACTGACGACGATGATGACGAGGGTAAGTTGGATCATTCATTATTTTCAAGGTTAACAAGGGCACAAACTTAAGACTAAGCAAAAAAAATCTATTATCAATGTGCCTTTATATTATATAAATAATAAGTTTTTGAAATCATAAACACTGAAATTAATTCAGAAATGCAACAAACATTGATATCTGAATCAAATGTAGTGTTTATTAATTATTATTTTATTTATTTTAATAAATGAACCAAAGTAATTTATTACACTAACAGTGTAATTTTCCTCTGATCTATAAATGTTTCTTACTGTTTGAAATATGCTAGATCCATTAATTTATTATTATTAATTATTAATGTCATAATGAGGCTGATTATAAGCACCCCACTGAATAAAATAATAATATTATTTTATTCATCTGGCTATATGCGTTTTTTTAATTACTAGTATAAACTAGATTTTTTTAATTATAATCCTTTTTTACTTGGTTTAATAGAGCTTTGTGCTACAAATTAACATTTTATTGCTGATGTTTGTTATTTTACTTAATTATTATTGTGACTATTAGGTCTACTTTTAGCCGAAAGCAACTACCTACACTCACCTACTTTTATATATTTTCACTTACTTTCTTTATATTTACATGAACATGTGTAGTACATTTGATGAAATTAGTTTTTGACATTTTGACACAGACTTTCCATATTATTAGTGCTCAAAGCCTTTAGCAAATATTGTTAGGAGAATTTTGTAGGTGTCATTGGGCAGCAGTGCCTACTATGATATAAGCTCTTTTGTTAGTCTAAAGCTGTAAAAAAGTATCACAAATTTGTTTTCAGGGTGTGAACGGTTGCGTCAGCTATTGACACTTCTCCCACTTTTAAGAAGTGACAATGAGCGTGCGAAGAGTGTGTATGTTAATGCTGTACCAGTGCTGGTCCAGCGTTGTGTGGACGCACCGCGACGGAACTCTGCCACGCCAGAACTTTGTCGACAACTTTTATCATACTTGCTGGTGCATCCAGCACTTATGCATCATGAGCAAAGGTAAAATACTATTATTTTCAATTTTTTATATACTTTTCTCCTAATGGTCAATGGACATTTTCAAAGTTGGGGAGGATCGGCTTGGGTTAGCAGGTGGATTGGCCGAAAGTATATGTTCGATTTTGCATGGACTGAGGTCAAAGTACCTGGTTGTTATTCCAAAAGTTGTGGGTTCAATTATTTAAAGCCAACATTTGTACAATAAAAGAAATATTAAATCATTTGATGGATAATGTAATATGTAAATATGTATGGTTGAAGCATGAATGGGTCTCGGCCCGACCAGGGTAGTACCACACACTCACAGAATACCAGCAGCTTAATTCTGCTGTGTTTCGTATGGTGAGTGTTGCGAACCGGAGACCCTTATTTACTGGAATCGAGGCATTCCATCTTTGTCCTCACGGCTGACAATGCAGCTGCATTTTGATTCTTTATCGAGGATAGATGTAGATATCTATGGGTCACAACAACCACTTACCATCAGGTGGACTGTGTGCTCATTTGTCACCCTATTAATAATAAAGCCATTTATTCAACAGTATGTAATACAATTTCTTAATATCTAAGTTATTTAAAATCTAGGTTGTCTTCTGCTGATTGCAAATCGGCAAAGGTCTCCTCCAACCTTTTCCACACGTTTCTATCCTTGGCAACCCGGCTCCAGGTCATACCCATAAATTTGACCAGGTCATCCTCCCATCTTTGGCAGGGTCTTCCCCTCTTTCTTATACCATTCCTAGGGTACCATTCTGTGACATTCCTGCTCCACTTCTCCTTCCCTCTACTCATATGACCAGCCCATTTCCACTTTAGTTTCCTGACATTTGTTGCTACGTCCCAAACCTTTGTGTTTTTCCTAATGTCCATAAAATCCTTTTTTCATGATTTCCATCATGCTTCGCTCCATCGAATGCTGGCATATATTTAATTTCTTACTGTTCAATTTAGTGGGGGCCCATGTTTAACATCCATACATCAATACAGGTAGAATGCATGTGTTGAATACTTTAGATTTAATCAATATGTGCAGCTCTTTATCGTTCACTATTTCCTTCATGCTCCAGTATCTTTTCCATCCACTTGCTACTCTCCTGTTGATTTCTTTTTCCTTGTTGTCTGTGGGTGAGATAATTTGGTCCAGATAGATGTATTCATCCACATATTCTATCTCACTCTGACCAGCCCTGATGGTTTCATTCTTCGGTCCTTTGGTCATTACTTTCCTTTCCTCCATGTTCATTTACAATCCCACCTTGTCTTTGACTTTCTAATGCCAGATCATTTGCCATGACATTCAGTTCATGTGGGGTTTTTTGCAAAGAGAAATATGTCATCCGCAAATCTTAGATGTGTTAACCAAGTTCGATCGATGTTGATTCCATATCAGTCCCAATTTAGTCTTCTAAATATCATTTAAGGGCCGCAGACTAAAGTTTTGGGGATAGCGGGTCGCCCTGTCGCACACCCTTTTGTGTACTAAATGGTTCTCCTTTCTTTTCTAAGTGTATGCATGCTGTACTTTCCTTGTATATCTTCCTCAGTATCCTTATGTACTTGCTTTCGATACCTTGTTCTTTTAGGGTCTGCCATATCTTATTGTGAAATAAAGAGTCGAAAGTCTTGCTGTAGTCAATATATGCCATGTAATATAAGTGCCTCATAACATGTATATGGTCCAATACTGTGTAACCTCTACGAAAACCTGCTTGCTCGTCTGGTTGGTTGTCATCTAATTTCCTTTCCAGTCTTCTTAGCAGTATTTTCGTAAATACTTTGTATAAGTTGGACATAAGGCTGATCGGGCGATAATTACCTGTATTAAGTTTACCTTTTTCCGACTTTAGGGTCAGAACATTAAGTGTGGCAATTTGGATGCTTTCTTTACTTGTCACCCTATTATCCTATAAAAAAATATTAGGCATGTATATTTAGGTCAAAGTGTATGTAAACTCTTGTGTACATCTAATAAATAAATAAAAATTCTTAAACATTGGGAATTAAAAAATATAAAAATAGTAAAATTAACAACGATAAAATCTGTAAAAATTTAATGAAATAAATTTTGTTCTTTTTACAGGACCCTAACACAATGGCTACGCTACTTAGAAAATCACATCTCGGGCAACAGAAACACGGAATCCGTTTGGCAGCAACGAATAGATCCTTGTTTGTTACCCGAAACAAATATATGGGGCACTAATAACGCTTTCAGACGGACTATCGGCAAAAACGTCGAATTTAGAGGCATTTTAGATTCAACTGACCATATGTCATACACTGATCTTTTACAAGAATCTTTCTCCAAGAATGGCAGAGATGTGGATATAAGTTTAGATGGTGAAATGGTTAATTTTGACGGTGCAATTTCACAGCCCAAGGCTCAAAGGTCGAATAGCTTGACACCCCCCTCATCGAATTTCATGCACATGTCATCATCTGCGGAGAACTTAAGTGATGAACCATTTGTACAGAAACCGAGAAGTTTTTCACTATCCAGCGAGCACAGCTTAGGTCAAATTAGGCCTATTAGTATAATGTACGGTACAACAGGCAGTGAAACTAGATTAGATGACCTCAGGTCAAATAACTTTGCGGAACATCCTGGCATGTCAAACGTAGCTCAATGGCTGAAAAGTTTAAGGCTTCACAAATATGTTTGGCTTTTCACAAACATAAGTTATGAGCAAATGATGGCCATAGACGAGGAGTATCTTGAGAAATTAGGTGAGATCATTTTTTATACCTTAAAATAGTAAAAAGTAATGTTAAATACATTTATTGTTATATATTATATAGAGATACTAGTTTCTCGACTCTACACAGTCAGTAATTTATTCAAGGGGCAATTACAACAAAGTTCAAGAAAATTTACAAGGCCTCTATTACAAAGTTTAAATATTTAATTTTTTTTTTTTTTTTTTTTTATAGGATAAGGGTGACAAACGAGCACACAGTCCACCTGATGGTAAGTGGTTGCTGCGGCCCATAGACATCTACATCTATCCTCTATTACAAATCAAAATGTAGATGCGTTGTCACCCGTGAGGACTAAGATGGAATGCCTCATTTCCAGTAAAAAGGGACTCCGGCCACCTGCACTCACCAAGCGAAACGCAGAGGTAAACCTCTACTTCACGCTGGTTTTCTGTGAGGTCGTGGTACCACCCTGGTTCGAGCCGGCCCATCCGTGCGACAGCAAAAGCTGCCGCGTGGCTCTACCACTGTTAAATTAAATTTATTATTATAAAATTAAATTAAACAAAAACTGTATAAAAAGGGTTATTATGATATAAATTAATACATGGTTAGTAATAACCCCTGAGAATGAGGTTGTCGCTTTTAAGCTATTTCTTAAATAAGTTTTGTAAGTAGTTTTTATAATGTATTATATTATACTTTTTTTAAAAGTTCTGCTGGTTCCGAAAAGTGGTAAAAATTAAAAAAAAATGATTCAGTAAGAATTGCATGTAATCTATATTGAATTAAAAAAATAAATATTATAAATTATATACATCTCACTCATGGACACAGGCCCCCTCTCATTTTTGAGAGGTTTTAAGGCAGGGAAGTGTGCATTGCTCTACCTTGGTGCGTATTGGCGGACTTCACATGTCAGTTTCCTCACAATGTTTTCCATCACCGCCAAATACGTTGCAGCTTTGCATTTTAAATTTCAATGAAAAATTTTCATGCTGCCGTAGGGGATCCAACCTGGGTTGCTTGTCCCTGAACTGCTATGGCTCAATATTCTGCTTTGTACCTTAATTAAAAAAAGTATGTAAGATTAATAAATAGAATAAATACTTATCTACTGAAATGAATGCAAGAAGTGGTTTCTTGCTGGTTCAAATCAGTATAATAATAGCCTTTTATTTAAACATAGGGTTACAAGAGAGGTCCCTAAGTTCGGTGTGCCTTTTGGTATAGGCCTCCTCCAATTCCTTCCAATGGTTCCTGTCCCTTGCTACTCTCAACCAGAATGGTCCCGCTGTCTGTTTTAAGTCTACTTCCCATCTCCTAACTTGACGACCCCTGCCTCTTTTGCCATCTCTTGGTTGCCAGAGAGTGACTTGCTTGCTCCATTTGTTAATGGGGTGGCGTAACAAATGTCCAGCCCATCTCCATTTTTGGACGTCTATCCGGGTAAGAATGTCAGTGAGTTTTGTTCTTGTTCTAATGTCTACGTTCCTGACTCTGTCTTTGATTTTTAACCCTAGCATGCGTCTTTCCATGGAACGTTGGCATTTTGTTAGCCTTTCCCTATGGTGAAGTGTTGTTGATCAAGTTTCACAGCCATAAGTAAGATCTGGTAGAATACAGGTCTCGAATGTTTTCTTTTTTATGTGTTTGCCTACATCCTTACTTTTCACTATTTCCTTCAGTGACCAGTATTTTCTTCATCCTTGGGCTATTCGCCTGTTTATTTCCTTTGTCATTTCATATGAAGGGGATATATTATCTGTCCTAAGTAAATATATTCTTTGACATATTCGATCTTGTTGCCATCTACCATAACGTCTATTTCCCTTGAGTTTGACATTAATTTTGTTTTACTGGCATTTGAATCAGTAGTAAAGGTTATATATTTTTAAATATTGATGACAAGTTAAAACAGTAATTAAAATAATCCAATTGCATTAAAAAGAATATGCAGTAAACTGAAGACAATCATTCCTCTCCCTTTTTTTTTGTATTTTCAAAAGCAATAAATAAATATTATATGGCTTTATGTTGTTGACATGTATGTTGCTTACAATCAAATTTAACGATATTTCATATGTTAAAATCTATCGAGCCATTTAAGTTACAGAACATGCCAAAGAAATATACATATTATAAACACACACATACTCTTGAAAAATCTGGTTTTCATGTATATTTATTGGCATATTATTATCTGTTTCTTGATTTTTTTTTATTCACTTCGCTATTTATATAAGTTGTGGTTACCTGTAAGAAGATGAACATGTAGCATGTAGCCCTTGTAGTATTGAGTTATATTTTTGTTTTGGTGGTTGCCAACCCGCTTACTAAACAAGTAACCCCCCAATTATGAGGCAATCTATGGGGCAGGCCTATGTTCAGCAGTGGACTCTAATAGGCTGGTATGGAACAAATAAAGAGAAAAAAAACATTACCCACCTTCTAGCACAGTGGGGTAAAAAAGTGAGTGTATTATATTGTGATTGCAGGTGTGACGAAAGGCGCCCGGCACAAGATCCTAGTGTCGATCCGCAAGCTGGGCGAGCGCGGCGCGCTGCTGGCGGCCGTGCGCGCGGAGCTGGCGGCCGTGGCGGCGGCTGGGGGGCCGGGCGCGGCGCCGGGCGCGGGGCCGGGTGGGGGCGGGGGGTCGGGCGGCGCGGGGGGCGCGGGGGGCGCGGGGGGCGCGGGGGGCGCCGTGTGCCGCGCGCTCGAGCGCCTGCGCGCGCTGCTGCTCAGCCCCATGCCGCCCGCCTCCGACCTGCCGCCCGCCATCGTCGACGCGCTTGAACTCGGTAATGTTTTGCTACTCAAAACGTTCTGTTTTAACGTGATAAAGACATGCTGCAGCTATTAGTAGTATACTTGTTGCACAAATGGGTCAACTCAATCGGGGAAGGACCACACTCTCACAGAGTACTAGCGTAAAATAGCGGCTTAACGCTGCTGTATTTAATATGATGAGATTATTCAGTGATTTTAACAGGAGCTATAGTAATAACCTTAGTTACTGATATAAAAAAAAATATAAAATTCTCGTGTCGCGATGTTTGTTACCAAACTCCTCCGAAATAGCTGAACAGATTTGTATGAAATTTTGTGTACATATCAGGTAGGTCAGAGAAACGGCCAACATCTATTTTTCAAACCACTAAATGTGTGACCAACCCCTAAATATTTTTATTTATTTTTTTGACAATTTTTTTATTTTTATTTTATTATGATTTACCGTTGAAAAATACATACAAATTTAAATGTTCAGCCTTTACAATCAACCCCTGTTGTTTAATCGCGATTTTTATATTATTCTGTTCCATCCACAGATCCGCAATAGGGTTGCAAGATGGCAATCGAATATAATAATTGTAGTATAATAAATTTACAGTTTACTTTAATTATATATTTTTCTCAATTTAAATTAATCTTCAACTCTCTCCTGTCGATAACTGATGAACTACCAATCGATCAGTTATCCTCGCCAGGTGTCTACCGTTGTCACCTCTCAACCAACTTTTTGCTGGTCATTTTACGATGTCGTGAGCTTAGTCAACAATTCATGGTGGACATGTACGTGAAAACAGAGAGTGAACGACTACGATACTTACGACATAAACAACAGAAGCTGCGTGTGAATACATTCACTTGAGAGATGTTATTGCAAACAACGCTCATACTGCCGAAATTGGTAACTCTGTTATTCTACCATCATCATACATCAGTAGTCCATGTCACATGCAAGATACATACATACAGGATGCTATGACTTTCGTGCGCGAATATGGACGACATAGTTTTTTATTACCTTTATGCTGGAAATTACATCGTTGCTATTACCTGGACAAAATACAATACATCGTCATGACATCACAGCACGTGTTTTTAAACAAAAATTGACGTCTTTATCAGCTTTATTACAAAATTACATGTATTTGGCCCCACACATTGTTGGATGTATTCGGTCGAGTGACAAAAGCGAGGATTACCTCATGCTCACATTTTGATTTGGTTCATCGACAAAATACGTCCTGAGGACATTGATAGTTTAATTTCAACAGAAATTCCCGATCCGTCTACTGATCAATTGCTGTTTGATATTGTTACTACAAACATGATTCATGGTTCATGCGGAGATCTGAATCGTTCATCGCCTAGCATGGTAGACGGAAAATGTACAAAGAGTTTTGCTAAAGAATTCACCAACGATATGGTCACACATGTTGATGGATATGCAATATATGGTCGAAGAAGTACCGATAATGGCAGACAATCATTCATTAAAACTATCAGTAACGCAGACATTGAAATAGAAAATCGTTGGGTGGTACCATATTCACCTCTGCTGAGCAAAACATTCAATGCTCGTCTTAATGTTGAGTTCTGCAGTTCGGTAAAGTGCATCAAATATATTTGCAAGTATGTGAATAAAGGAAGAGATATGGCTGTATTTAGAATTGAAAATACTAATGTAAATGCTCCTCACTTAAATAAAAATTAAAAAGTGACGAATTACCAAATTGGCCGGTGTATCAGCTATATCATTCAGTGACGCAATGTACAATGAAGCATTGATTGCTATCGAGGATCATTGCATTACCATTGCAAATTTACCAATTAGTAATTTCGGTATGAGTTCACCATATCAAAGTGCATCTGATTTAATCAACACTGATACTGTAGAACTGGCAGCGATTGTTACACGCAATATTCCACTACTAAATGATGAACAAAAAACAATTTACGACCGCATTATGCTGGTAGTTTCGACAGGGTAAGGGGGATTTTTTTTTTTTGGATGCACCAAGTGGAACTGGCAAAACATTCCTTATTTCGCTACTTCTTGCCGAGATACGATCAAAAATTGGTATCGCATTGGCCATTGCATCATCTGGAATTGCAGCAACTTTATTAGATCTAGGCAAAACAGCTCATTCAGCATTTAAGCTGCCATTAAATATTCATAATAACCTAGATGCAGTGTGCAACATAAAAAAAACAATCGTCCATAGCCACAGAACTGAAGCAGTGTAAAATTATCATTTGGGATGAATGTTGTAAAGGTACAACTGACAGTCATCCACAGTCCATCAGTACATCCACCGAAACTTTCTCAAAAGAACTGTTAGATTTTGGCAATAGAAAAGTTGCTGTACATGAAAATACTGGATGCATAAAACTGCCAACCGATTTCTGCACAATCATCAAATCGCAAAATACTCTCATCGACCACATATATCCCGATGTAGACACACAACACAAAAATCTTGAGTGACTGGCAGAAAGAGCGATTTTGGCAGCACAAAATATGGACGTTAATGGATTAAATTCCAAGATACAACAGTTCTTGCCAGGGGAGTTGGTGTTATACAAATCTGTCGACGCAGTTTGCGGTACCAACGAAGCTGTGAATTATCCAATTGAGTTTATGAATTCATTGGATATGCCAAGCATGCCACCGCACCATTTACAATTGAAGTTTGGATCTCCGGTTATTTTGTTTCGTAATTTGAACCCACCACGGCTTTGCAATGCTCGAGCATGGCCGGCTCGAGCCGGGTTAGTACCACGACCTCACAGAATACCGACGTAGTGCTTCCGCGTTTCATCTGGTGAGTGCGGGTGACCAGAGGCCCAATTCCCCCTCCCCCCCATCAACATGGTAGCGGAATTACATCATAGACTACCCCAAAAGGGTACCAGGACCCCTGGAGAATCCCTCGCTGAGCATCCACGACCATGCTATTCCACTCCTGAGCGTGGGTGCTCAGGCTGCCCCGCGTATTCTGTGCGAGGGGGGGGACAAAATTCCGCTCAGCACAATAACTGCTCGGGGCAAACTGAGCAACAAGACCAAGACGACCCCTGCCACGTTATCCGTGAATTTCTGCAACATCAGGGAACTTCACTCGAACCTACACGCTGTCCACTACCATCTCGAGACGGCGAAGCCGGCCTTGCTCTTTCTGACCGAGACGCAGGTGTCCTCTCCGTCGATGCCCCTCTTGGCTCTTCGGACCATTGTCTGATCCGGAGTGTGGTGCCACTCACGCTCCCCTCGCAGTTGCGTTCTGCTGGTTGCCGCCGTGTTTGGCATTACAGGTCGGCGGATTGGGACGGAATGCGGTCTTTCTTTGCTTTCTACCCATGGGGGCGGGTTTGCTTCTCGCCGGATGATCCCAGCGCTGTTGCTGACTCTGTCACTGATGTGGTGTTACAGGGAATGGAACTATTTATTCCATCATCTGTGGTACACATCGGAGGCAGATCTCAGCCTTAGTTTGGTTGCTCCTGTAAGAAGACATTACGCAGTAAGCAGGAGTGTTATCAAGCCTGGGCTGCGGCTTCGGCGACTCGGGATGTAAACACCAGCACACTTAAAAAGAAGTATAACTTCGCCTCCAGGTCCTTCAAAAGAGTTATTGCCAAGGCAAAGTCAGAGCACATATGCAGAATTGGCGAGAAACTAGTTCGCCTTCCTTCGGGAACCCGTGCATTCTGGTCTCTCGCCAAGGCTGTCCAGGGGAATTTCTGTAAGCCTTCACTACCATCTCTGCACAGGGAGGACGACTCACTGGCCTACGACGCAAAAGAGAAAGCCGACCTTTTAGGCTCCCTTTTTGCGTCCAACTCGACTGTTGATGACGGGGGGAACACACCGCCGGCCATCCCGCGGTGTGAGTGTTCCATGCCGGATGTGCGGTTCTCACAGCGCTCGGTTCGCAGAGCACTCCTCTCCCTGGACATCCACAAGTCGAGTAGGCCTGACGGAATGCCCCCAATTGTGCTGAGGACGTATGCTCCGGAGTTGACACCGGTTCTAACGCGTCTTTTCCGGTACTCCTACTCCCTAGGCATAGTCCCGAAATCGTGGTAGACAGCTTTTGTCCACCCGATCCCTAAAAAAGGCGACCGCTCAGACCCGTCCAACTACAGGCCTATCGCCATCACCCCCTTGTTCTCCAAAATAATAGAATCCGTTATAAACTGCCACCTCATGCGGTACCTTGAGGTTCACCAGCTGATTAGTGACTGCCAATACGGTTTTCGTCGGGTTCGATCAGCTGGTAATATTCTGGTCTACTTAACTCGTAGATGGGCGGAGGCAGTAGAGTCCAAGGGGGAGGCATTGGCCGTTAGTTTGGACATTGCGAAGGCCTTCGATCGGGTTTGGCACAAAGCGCTTCTTTCGAAGCTCCCTTCCTATGGGCTTCCCGAAAAATTGTGCAATTGGATACATAATGTCTCATGCAATTGGATCACCAGCTTTCTTGCAGATCGGTGCATCAAGGTCGTTGTAGACGGTGCATGCTCCGACTATAAGCCTATTAATGCTGGTGTTCCACAAGGCTGCGTGCTATCACCAACGCTGTTTCTTCTGCATATTAATGATATGTTGCAAACCGGTAGCATTCATTGCTATGCGGATGACAGCACTGGTGATGCTCTATACACCGGCCGTGCCAATATTTCTCGGATAAACGTCGCCGAGTACCGGAACAAACTTGTGTCTGAAGTCGAGTCTTTGCTGGACAAAGTCTCGGATTGGGGGCGACTAAATCTAGTCCAGTTTAATCCTCAGAAGACACAAGTTTGCGCGTTTACCGCTAAAAAGAACCCCTTTGTCGTATCTCCTCAGTTTCAAGGTACTCCCCTTGTTGCCTCAGCCAGTATCGGAATCCTCGGCGTCGACATATCAAGTGACGTGCAGTTTCGTGGTCACTTGAAAGAGAAGGCCAAATTGGCCTCTAAAAAGCTTAGCGTGCTGAGCAGAGCGGGACAGTATTTCATGCCGACACAA